GGGGGGGGGGGGGGGGGGAGAAACTGCCAACTTCCTTCCTCCCAGCTCCACTTGCAAACTTATGGGAATTAAAGTGGGGAGCCCATGATTCTCTCTAAACCCATTCCCCGTACTGGAAAGTCACTTCATCCAGTGTGTTCTGATGGCAAATGTAGTGGATCTGGTCCCCGCAAGTCAGCCTTGGATTGGGGAATGAGCTAAAACAGCTCCTTAGTGTCTTCCTCACTTAGGACATCCAGCTCTGGAACAGGGAGTTCTGGGGACCAGGAGGAGGTAGGCATCTATCTGCTGCCAGCATAATCAGTTACATTTGTCTCAAAAAACACTGATGGTCCACCCCTTTGGGCATCATGCTGTGCCTGGCACAAGCTAGTAATCCCGACCCGGTTCTGTCCCTCCCGAGTTAACAACCTTAAGTCACACAATAATGACACAGATCCCAAAGGCGGGGAGTTAACAAATACACCCACTTGTCCACCAATCACAAGGGATCCATTGAGCGAGCCAAGGCGACAAATAGGGCCCCCTTCAAAGAGCTTCCAATCTGGTGGGTCAATAGGTAAGCGTGAGTGAGAGTTTGGGAGAGGTGAGATCCAGGTGCGGAAACCCGGTCAATTTGGGTATCATCCAACAGACTCCATCTGTGTGTGTGTGTGTGTGTGTGTGTGTGTCTATTGGCGTATTGGCTGGGGTTTGGTCGGCTTGGGCCACGGCCCCCCATCCCAGATGGAGGGTTCATTTCCAGTCCTCCGAGCGCGCGGGTCGATACAAAGGGCCAGAGGCAACATCGCCAAGCGCAGCAGAGTAGGGGAGAGATCTGGGCCTGGAGGCGCTCGTCGTGGGCTCCCCCTTCACCCTGGGTGGCCAAGAAGTGTCACTGCCCTGCCTCCCCGGGCCTCCAGATCTGTAACTAAGGCTCCTCGCGGCATTTTCGGGGCAGTCCCCCACATCCGTCTCGCTTAGCCGCGAGTCCTCCTTGTGCGCTGAGCGTTGGTGGCTCAGGTTTGGGGCGGGTGCGTGAAGGAGGCGCCGGGTAGTCACCCCAAGAGGTCCGGTCGCAGCGGCTCCCCGGGACGCGCCAGCCAGGCCTGGGCAGCGGGAGGGGCCGTGGCCAGCCCGCCC